AAAAAAAAAAAAAAAGACGCTTAACCCACTGAGCCACCCAGGCGCCCCACAACAGTTTTCTTGAAGTATAATTGAAATATAATGATTACACATAAATAAATGTACAATATGATGAGTTATGACATATGTATAAACCATGAAACTGTCACCACCACCACCAAAATAATGAACATATCCAAAAGTTCCCTTGTGCTTGTTTGTAATTAGTCCCTCCTCCTAGCCCCCATTTAGTCACCCATCTGCTTTTATCACTGTGGATTACTTTGCGTTTTTCTAGAATTTTTTATAAATGAGATCATACAGTATATACTTTCTTCTTGGGTTTTTTTTTTTTTTGGGGGGGGGTCTGGCTTCTTTCCCACAACATAATTATTTTGATTTTCATCTGTTTATATCAGTAGTTCATTTTTTAAAATTGTTGAGTAGTATTCTATTGTATGAGTATACAACAGTTTGTTAGTTCATTCCCCCCTTGGTGGGCATTTGGGGTTGTTTCTAGTTTTTAGCTGTTTCATGTAAAGCTTTTGTAAACATTCATATACAAACAAGTCTTTGTGTGGACATATGTTTTCATTTCTCTTCAGTAAATACCTAGGAGCAGAATGGCTAAGGGATATAATAGGTATATCTTTAGCTTTATAAGAAATTGCCAAACTTTTTTCAAAGTAGTTGTACCATTTTACATGCCCACTGGAATGTGTATGAGAGTATATGAGAGTTCCAGGCCCTCCACATCCTCTCCAATTCCTGATATGGTCAGTCTTTTAAAATTTTAGCCATTCCAATAGGTGTGAAATAGTATCTCATGGTAGTTTTCATTTGTAATTTTGTAATGAATAATAATATTGAACAACTTTTCATGTGTTTTTTGGGGGGGGGTCATCCATATAACTTTCTTCTTTGATGAAGTATTTATTCAAATCTTTTGTTCATTTTTACTGTTCTTTTTTTTTTTATACTTGAGTTGTAAGAATTCCTTATATATTCTAGATACAAGTCCTTTGCAGTGTTTATTTCACAAATATTTTCTAGTCTGTGATTTTCCTAACATTGTATTTTGAACAGCAAAATTTTTAAGCTCCCTTGTACCCTAATTAGAAGTTTAACCTAAAAATGTCTTTGAAAAGATGTGGAAATTTAGATGTCTTTTCTTTGACTATCATATTTAAACATTTAAGAATAACTATTTATTTAAATGATATTGAAAGTTATTTTAAGGATAATCTTTTCAGCATAATTGTGCTATCACTACCAGCCATACTGTTCTAAGAAAATTACCATTTCTGCTTAGCTCCCTCAACAAAAAGGATACTTTAAAATAACGTAGCATCATATTGAAGTACTTTATCTTTGAATATTACAGAAGAAAATTCCACAAGACAGAGTGGGGATTTGGGAAGCCAGTTTACAGAAATTTTCATTAAGCAGCAGGAGAATGTCACTCTCCTGTTATCTTTATTGGAGGTAAATAATCTTGCTATTTTTGTCATCTTAATAAGCTTTTTTTTTTTTTTTGGGTGTTATTGAGGAAGCAACATATACATACCTTTTTAAGGTCGTGAAATTTGTAGTATCATTGCAAGAGATTCACATGCATGTTTTAAGGACTCTGTAATTTGTTAAAGTATTGTCTGCTTATTTCCATTTTTACCTTACCAAGTTTAATCAATTTATGTTAACTATTTTCTTTTTATTTCTTAAATTACTTCTTTAAAGTTTGCTAAACTGTGTTTGTAGTTTTTAATACCACTATTGAAAAAAATGTTTTTCTTAAAAACGTAAATTACAGATGTTAAATATTTTAAATACTTATGTTGTAGGAGTTTGATTTCCATGTCCGCTGGCCTGGTGTGAAGCTTCTTACTTCTCTTTTAAAACAACTAGGACCTCAGGTGCAGCAAATTATTTTAGTCAGTCCCATGGGTAAGTGACTCATCTTAAATAATTTTGATTTAAAAGTGAGGATCATTCCTAAAGAGGGGGACTGAAATGATGTGTTAATAAATTGCATAATTTAAATCACTATTTGTATTTTTGATCTGCCACTATTTTTCACACGGTTATATGTTCTAGGTGTTTCAAGACTGATGGACTTACTAGCAGATTCCAGGGAAGTTATACGTAATGATGTAAGTTAAATTCGAAGAAGAAGTCTAAGAATGTGCAACTTTTTTTCCCCCTCTCTTTGCAAATGAAATCTTTGTTGATCCTTATTCAGTGTCATAAGAAGTTAGATTTGGAAATTGGAGGTATTGGCCAATATTTTAGACTTTTTTTTTTTTTAAAGATTTTATTTATTTATTTGAGAGAGAGAGAGAGAAAGAACAGGAACACAAGCAGGGGGAATTGGAGTGGGAGAAGCAGGCTTCCTGCCTGAGCAGGGAGCCCGATGTGGGGCTTGATCCCAGGACTCTGGGATCATGACCTGAGCAGAAGGCAGATGCTTAACGACTGAGCCACCCAGGTGCCCCTGTTTTAGACCTTTTTAAGTTATATACAAGACCACATTATTTCTTTGTTTCCTGCCTATCCAGTATTTTGGTGTAGACAGATGATTTTCATATTCAAATTTATGCCTTTCCACAAGTTTAGAATTTCTTTCATCTTCTTTTGAAAGGCTATATTGACACTAAATTCTGCCTTCAGAAAAAGTAAAGGAAACATCCCCAGACATTGAACTGTGTAAACTTAAAGCATTGCATTTGGAATCTTCACCCTCATTTGACTGAATATGCATTTCAAAGGATTTTCCTTGTAATCTGCATTTAACTATAGAGCATGATTTGCTTTGGAGTTATTTTCCATTCTGATTTATTTTATTATTTGCATATAAGTTTGAATATTTTGTATTGATGTATTTTTTTGTTGTTTGAACATTTTTCTGGTTGTTATCTATAACTTGGTCAAGACTGTGGTACTTTTTTTTTTTAATGCTTTTAAAGATTTTATTTTTAAGTAATCTTCACACCCAGTGTGGGGCTCGAACTCACAACCCTGAGATCAAGAGTCTTTGCTCCACCAATTGAGCCAGCCAGGCACCCCTAGACATAATACTTTAGACAACAATTGGAAAAATCCTTTTAAAATTAAATTCTAGAGCCAGGAGAGCATATCAAGTTAATTCATTCTCCATATTAACACTGAGAAGCCCAAGACTTAGGAAAACCAAGTGATTTGTTGTTAGTGATGTCTATTCATTTTTGTATATATGGTAACTGGCCTGTGCCTTTCTCATCCTTACAGCTAGTAAATACCATTTGGATTGCTCTTAGCTTCACAACTGGTTAGTGGCAGAGCAGAGACACAAGTGAAGTGCTCTTGACCTTTAGTTCACATACAGTTTTTTAACTTTGTATTTAACATTTTATAGTATATATGTCAATGCAGTATTATAAGGGGTTAAATAATAGGGTAATGTAACTGATGAGAGGGACATTTTTAAATCTCTATTTTTCTTTTAAGAATTGTCTTATTTAGATGGGTACCCAGCTACTTAGGAATTTTGAGCATCTTTCCTTTACTAAAATATTACTGTATATCTTAAACTTGATGTTGTTGTTCTGTTCTTCTCTTGGCCCTAAGTATAAATAAGATAATGCCATACAAACCTTTTATTTAAAAAATTTTCCATTCCATTCGATTTTATTATTTATTTATTTATTTATTTTTTAATTTTAGTTTTAAGTAATCTCTACACACCCAACATGGGTCTTGAACTTACAACCCTGAGATCAAGAGTCACATGCTCCATTGACTGAGCCAGCCAGGTGCTCCACCATATAAATCATTTAATAAGGAAATTCCCTCTTCATGGATTGCTATTAGTATCATTACCATTATTTTCATTTTCGGAAAGAATTTGTGTGTGTGTAAAACTGTATTAGCTTGGTTCTTAAATATACCATTTCCTTTAACCCCTACTCTTTTTTCCTGTTCTTAACCTTTTCCTCGATTTTTGTTTTTTGGGTTTTTTTGTTTTTTGTTTTTTTTAAGTAGGCTTCAAGCCCAGCATGGAGCCCAGTGCGGGGCTTGAACTCATGACCCTGAGATCAAGACCTGAGATGAGATAGAAAGTCAGATGCTTGACCAACTGAGCCACCCAGGCGCCCCACCTTTTTCTCAATTTTTATTTGAGACCGATAAAATGATTCTCTATTTATGTTGCTTTTCATTAATTTTATGATTAGGGATTAAGTTATGTATATTTTTTAACATCTGGATTCTTGGTTTTTATGTTTTACAGCCATCCTTTCTTTGGGTTTAGTAAACCTATTCATTTGAATTTTTTGTGGCTAATTACTATCATAACATTATATAACACACCATGGTACACCTCAGTTGACACCAGCAACCAGAGGCTACTAAATGGCACCTCTGGTAGTTCTTATTGGCATTCTGTGATTACCTGGAACAATATACTACCCTTTTCCTCCTCTTGTGTCTTTTCTTTTTTTATTCTTCTTTAAAAATTCTTTTTTTCTTTTTAATCAACTTTCTAATTGTACTCAATAATAGTTTAGTAGTTGTCAACATTGACTAGCTTCCCTGGGTGCATATCGGTAAAGATTTTTTAGCCCCAGTTTGTTTTATATTTGAAACATTAATTTTGATCTGGATTAGAGAATTAGTTGGTCCTTTACCATAGGTGCACTGACACTATCCTATTTATTTATGTTACTTAGTGCTTAAAAATTAGCAGGAAAGGTTGAAAAACTGAACTACCTGCTCACTCCTAAGTGATAGATTTAGATAGATAGATTCCATTCTTTAATTTTTTATTATGAGAAATGTAAACACACACAAACACACAAACCTGTTCCTTAAACCCATCAGTTTTCAAAATTTTGTTATACTTGTTTCATCTACCTCTCCTCTCACCACTGTCCTTTATTTTTGACTGGAATATTTAAAAACATTGAAACAATCAATATAATTTCACCATTACATACTTTTAGTATACATACTATATATATCCTGATATAACTGTAATGCCATTATCACATTTAACAAGTTAACAATGATGTCTTAGCCCTCAGTTTCAATAAGATAACCGTTCCATATTCAGGTTTTCCATTTGTCTCAAAGGTATCTTTTACAGTTATTTTTTTCATATTGGGGTCCAGACAGGGTTCTCTTATTACATTTGATTGTTATATCTGTTAACTTATCTAAAGGGCTTGATTAGGTTTTGGTTCACCTTTTTGCTAGGGTATTTCCTAAATGATACAGTGAACTTAATTTTGCAACACATGAGGAAACATGTAATATCTGGCTGTCTCACTTTTAGTGATCAATGGATTTGATTTGGATCTCTCCGTTGTAAATTCTCTATCAACCTTACATCAGATTCATCAGTTACATCTGATCATCCATTAATGATCATTGCTTTAATCAGTTACTTTGTTAAGAATTGCAAAATGATGATTTCTGTAATTCTGTCATTATTTCACATGTATTAAGTTACAATCTTACAGCTTCTGCAAAGAAGAACTTCATCGAGTAGTCCAATTTGTTACCCTGAAATATAGTTCATACATGAAAAGCAGAATAAATGAATAAATGCCTTTAATTATCAGTTTTTAAAGTAAGGACTTGGTATCCACTTACTTTAAGTGACTGATGAGTGTACTTTTGTTCTTAATAGCATTTTAGTGGTTATGTTTGATTAGAACAATGTATCTCTTTATAGTCAGGAAAAATAAGTGAACATGTGTTGAGAACAAACAATGAATCATGGAACACTGCATCAAAAACTAATGATGTAATGTATGGTGATTAACATAATAAAAAAATGCTAATAAAAAAAGAATAAGATAGAAAGTCAGAAACAGAGTAAGTGGTGGTTACTAGGGGCTGGAGTGTGGGAGAAATGGACAGATACTGGTCAAGGGTACAAACTGCCAGTTATAAGATGAATAAACTCTAGAGATTTATTGTATACTATGGTGATAATAATATTAAGCTAATAATACTGTTTTATATACTGGAAAGTTGCTAATTGAGTAGATCTTAAATGTTCTTACCACAAGAAAGAAATGGTAATTTTGTGATGTGATGAAGGTGTTAACTAACACTACAGTGGTAATCATTTTATAGTATGTAAGTGTTTCAAATCAACAGGTTGTACGCCTTAAACTCACACAATGTTCTATGTCCATATCTCAGTAAAGCTGGGGGAAAGAAAAAAAAAGAGAACTTAAAATATAAGTACTATATACATATAAACCTGGTAGCTTCCACAGAAGTTATTTTATCTGCTTTACTTCTAATAAAAATCCTGTAACAAAGATATTATCCTTGTTTTACATATGGGCATACTAAGACTTAGAATTTATGTAATTTGCTTAAGGTTGCACAACTAGTACATAGGACAGCTGTTTTTAAAACCCACTTTATTTAACTCAGAGCCTCAATGTTCTTTCTGCTGTATTCCTTCCCCCCTTTGGTAGCAGTTAAACCCAAGTTGGCAGCATTAAGTGGGAGAATTTGACACCTAGAAATAACTACTTTTGCCTTTCTCTTATCTCACTGTTGAGACTTGACAGTCAGAAAAATGAGTAGAACAAGTCTAGTAAAGCCATGGGCTTCTTTTTTTTTTGGTCTTATGTGAAGACTTATCTACTCAATAAGGTAATTTGCCTTTTTAGGACTTTTGAACGACACCTTTGCTGTTCTTCTTTCTCTTAATACCTGCTTTTTTCCTAAAAACAAAACATTTTTCATAAAAAATGCTATTTCAAAGAAACAGAAAATGGTATTGTTACAAAATACTTGTTATTTAATGGTGAAATAAACAGAAATGGGAAACTGAGTTTTTCTTGAATGATAATGAAGAGGTTGCAGAATATATAAGCTAAATCCAGCTTAAAGGAGCTGAGAAAAACTAAGAATCAGAAGCAAAGACTACTGTTAGTTGTTTCATGCATCTTTTTTCTATTGACTTAGAATCAAGTGTCGGGAATTTAGGGGCCAGATAATTACAGGAAAATACAAACTTTCTCTGCTAGAATGTGATGATGTTTGAAGATTTATATTATTGAATTCACAATTTCATACCATTGCTCTTGTGAAGCACATACAGAAGCATCCCTGAGGTGCACCTGGGTGGTTCAGTCGTTTTAAGTGTCTGCCTTCGGCTCAGGTCATGATCCCGGGGTCCTGGGATCCAGCCCCATGTCACAGGGAGCCTGCTTCTCCCTCTCCCTCTGCCTGCCTCTCTGCCTGCTTGTGCTCTCGCTCTCTCTCTCAAATAAATGAATAAAATCTTAAAAAAAAAAGCATCCCTAAGACATATAATTATTCCCAGCTCTCGTAAGCACAATTAAAGCTAAGTAATGCTTGATGAATATGTAAGAATTATTGTACATTTATATTGTGCAGTTTAAAGAGAATGGAATTAGGAGTTGGTAGACATGGATTCTAGTCTAGGCTCTGTCCCTTTGAGGTCTATAATCTTAGGGAGGCATATTGTTCACCTTATCTGTCGTTTTTTTCCCCATCTATAAAGTGAAAGAGTCAAACTTGTGAAATACCTGCACTTCTAAAATTCTCTGGTTTTTAAATGTCTTGCAAAAGTTGTTCTCTACTAAACGTTATCTTTTTTTTCCTCCGTAAGGGTGTGTTACTACTGCAGGCACTAACAAGAAGCAATGGAGCAATCCAGAAAATTGTTGCTTTTGAAAATGCTTTTGAGAGACTACTGGACATTATTACAGAGGAGGGGAACAGTGATGGAGGTATAGTATGAGGAAATTGATTTAAAGAGATTCCTTTTGTGCTCACTAAATTGTTAACTTTTAGGGAATGCGATTAGAGGGAGAAATGAGGATTCGTACTTTATATTCTTTCATTATGGTTTGTGGAGTATGGATTTCTTTTTATTTATCCTATTTGATATTTGTTAGGCTTCTGGAATCTAAGTTGGGGTGTTTCATCATTTCTAGAAAATCTCAGCCATCTCTCTTCAAACACTGATCTGCTACATTTTCTCCTGTCTTATTTCTAAACTCAGAATCAATTCTCTTGTCATCTGATTTGACTCTCACTTTATCGTACTTTCTCTTCTGTGTTTTCCATCTTTTGGTGTTTCCAGGCTTTATTCCGTTTTATTATTTCTGACCTGTTATCTATTTCAACAATTCTTTCTTCACCTACATTTACTTATTATTATTTTAAATTTTTATTTAAATTCCCATTGCTTAATATATAGTGTAATATTAGTTTCAGGTGTACAATGTAGTGATTCAACACTTCCATACATCACCCAGTGCTCATCATGACAAGTGCGCTCCTTAATCCCATCACCTATTTGACCCATCTGCCCACCTACCTTTCTTTTGGTAATCATCAGTTTATTCTCTGTAGTTAAGAGTCTCTGGTTTGCCTCTGTCTTTTTTTTTTCCCCATGCTCATCTGTGTTGTTTCTTAAATTCCACATATGAGTGAGATCATACAATATTTGTCTTTCTCTGACTGACTTATTTTGTTTAGCATAATACTCTCTAGCTCCATCTATGTCATTGCAAATGGGAAGATTTCATTCTTTTTTGTGGCTGAGTACAATACAAAATATCTGCGGATATTTTCAACTTACTATTTATTTCTTCAAACACAAGAAACAATTATTTCATAGTCTGTGTCTGATAATCCCAATATTTTAAGTCTTTGTGGATCTGGAACTTTTGCTCCATTGGTTCTTATGCATTGCTCAATGTTTTCTTTGTGCATGAATATCTTTGATTAAGTGTTGTGTTGTACTTAACAGAATTATTCATAGGAATTTGAAGCCTAGGATGGAGGTAATTTCTTTTAGAGAAAACATAGTCGTTTCTGCCAAGTCCTGGCAGTGCAGTTTATCTGGGATCAACTTAATCCAGGTTTAAGGCTTGAGATTCCCTAGACCACTCAGGCAATTCAAACCCAGACTGTAAGATCTATGAGGACTACTTAACTTTTGGTTATTCTCATGCTGAGGATATAGCCCTTTGAAGTCCCAGCTTATTAGTGGAGAGTTTTCTGTTAGATTCCTTTCCCACCTTGTATGTGCTCTTGGCTTTGATTTATTTTCCCTCTGCCATGTGAGTCTGTCAAAATGAAAGTTTTAGGTTTTTTAAGATTGAGAAATATACTCCCAGCCAAAAGGTATTTATACTTCTTTACCTCACTAAGATACCCATTTTCCTATCATTGTTAACTTGCTAAACTGTCAAATCTTCATTGCTCCTGAGGCTTTTTTGTTTTTTAATTCGGCATTTTTAGTTGTTTTTAGTGAGAGGTTGATCCAAAAACCTAGCCCTGGGATTGAAAGAGAAAATTAGTTTATTTGCATTGACTGAAGTGAGATTAGCAAGTTGAGTAGTATAGATGACATTTGGCTATTTTAATCTGGAGGGGAGGGCCAGCCTGGTGATAAAGATTTGCATGTCTAGAAGATAGGTGATAGATGAAACAAAGTTAGATAAATGAGATAAAAGATGAGATGAGTCCATTAGGGTGAGTAATGAGTGAGAAGGGAAGTACTAAAACAAAAACCTGAGCAATACTAATAGTTAAGGAATAGTAGAGAGGAGCAAGTATTGGTAAAAGAGACTGAGGGCCGAGAGGCAAGAGGAAAACATCTGTGGGAGGGTCTGGGGAGTGGGTAGCATTGTTAGAAGCTGCTGAGATGTCAAATAAGATAGGGCAGAAATGTACCTTTGGGAACATGGACATCATTGATGACCTTGGGGAGAGCAGTTGTGTATAGTGGTTGCCTCAGAATCCATATTGCAGTGAGAGGAACGTGTTAGAAATGGGAAAATAGAATAGTAGAGAAAACTCATGCAACGAATTTGGAGAAGTTGGGGGAGAAAGGTAAATAGGAACTGGAGGTTGACGGGGAATGTTTTTTATCCTCTTAAATTTTTTGTTGACATATGAAACATTTTTCAAACATACAGAAAACAGTAAGAAATAGTGTAACAAACCCTTGTGCACCAATCGGCCAATTCTATTAAATGTTTACATTTTGCTATACATGTTTTAGATTTTTAAGAAAGAAAACACAGGGGCGCCTGGGTGGCTCAGTCGTTAAGCGTCTGCCTTCGGCTCAGGTCATGATCCCAGGGTCCTGGGATCGAGCCCCACATCGGGCTC